TTAACATTTAGTGAAAATAAAAATTACCAATTGAAAAAATAAAGCTGGAAATTATATTTTTCCTCAGTTCACATAAGAGACAATTATTACTTGAAAAACTACCTGGTTTAGCAAATTAAAACTACTGAGAATATACATTAATATTTCATTTCTTTTAATAAATACTGTTATGTAATTTATAGCAAACATATTGGTGATATTACTTTTTAAATTATATTGGAAAAAAAAACTTTAACAATGGATCGAATCACTACGTTCATATTATAGTCTAATCTAACTAGAGCCCTCTGAAACATATCAATAACAGTGAAGTAGAAATATATAGTAACTTCTTAACATACAAAAATTGATATTTTAGTTTGAAAAATTGCATGACATCCAGCAACTGTTTAAATAATTGTTTTTTATTTGATAAGAATTTTGCATTTTATAGCATAAATAACAGCAATTATAAATAAAATTTTGATAATGAGTTAATTAACTCTTTTTCAAAAAAAAAATTCAATTAAATCCCCTTTTAAGTGATTGCTTTTGTTTGCTATATTTAGTCGTTAGTCCATCTTCAAACATCTTGTGACAAATCCTATTTTTTTCTTCTTTGCAAGCACAGAATGTGAATTTTGAATATATTCCCTTCAAGTTTCTCTGATGTTGTAACACTTACATATACTACTAATAATCGTCGTTAGAAAAACAGTCACCTTTATAGTAACTATTTAAAAAAAAAAATTACTTCTCACAAGAATCTCGATAGTTGATCTTAAAATTGCGTGAATATGAATAACAATTATAGATTTTGAAATCACATGAATATGAAACTAGATATACGATTTTGAAAATGAGGAAATAAAAACTGGGATATAGAATTTTTAAAAAGCTTAAATATAAATCACGATTCATAATTTTCAGATCGCGTAAACACGAATCATGATGCGTAATTTTTAGATTGCATAAATAAGAATTACGATGCATAAATGTTAGAATGCGTGAATGCGAATCCCAATGCCTTATTTTAAAATCACGTATAAATACGAAAATCAATGTTTGATATTATAAACCGCATGAGCAAATCAAGACATTGAATCTTAAACTTGCGTGAATACGAATCGCTACATAGGTTTTTAAAAAGGCCTAAATACGAATTACAATATCGGATTTTTAAATCTCGTAAATAAGAATCGCAACGTACAATATTCAAATCGCGTGAATAAGAACCGCAACATGCAAATATGGAAAGCTATGTTTGATATTAAAATCGTGTGAATAAGATCGAGATATTAGCAGATTCCAGGCTTGGGACCTCTAAAAGGGTTGTCAGAAGCAGCGTCGTTTGAACTACAAAAATCGGATATATCTGGAGGTCGGGAAAAAAATTCGGAAAATCTTATCAATCTTATCTGCAGCGAGTAAAAGGGGAGAAAATAGCTAAAGTTAGTAAAAATGAGAAAGGATTGGTAGCTATGCAGTTTGAAATTTCTGTTTCTCTTTGAAAATCGGTGAATTTTCTGAAAAAGTGGAATACTTATTAAAAAAAGTGAAATTTTTAGAAAAATCTGAATTTTTGATTAAAAAAAAGCTGAAATTCAAGAGATAAAAGTGAAATAAGCGGAAATTCGCTAAAAAGCGGAAAAATCTCATCCCTGAGATATCAAACTTGGCGATGAGTGAAGATATGATTCCCTTAGCCTTGATAATGTTCATTTTATTTCCTTGAAGTTTTACGTTGATTTCCTTCATTTTTTCAAGACTATGAGTGAGGTACGCAGTTTCCAACTTGCGTTGCTTCAAACTCTCACTTAAAACAGGATCAGTGGTGTCGAGAAACTCAGTAACTAAATCCAGCAATTCGAAGAAACGGCTCAGTTTCCTTTTGAAAGCCAGCTCACAGCTGTATGTAGGAGCAGAAATTCGAAATCTTCATTTTCATGGCATAGTTCTCGGAACAAACGGTTATTAGGAGAATTAGCTTTCATTTTATTGATGCCAGAAATAACCTATTTTTCGCAGCCAAAAGTAGACGATGAATGACATAATGAATGGTGAGATAACTTCCGGTACTTCTTTTTTAAGGTGACCGAGAAACCCAGTATGACAACCAGGCATGGTTGGAGCACCATCTGTAGCACAAGCACTTACATTTGTGAGGGGAATTTCTTTTACCTCAAAATAATCTTTGACCAATTTAAAAATCGACGATCCTTTTGTATCTGTGTTCAAAGTTCTTGTAAACAACATTTCCTCGTTAATCTCCTTACTCTCATTTATGAATCTCACATAAGCTAAAACAGCTTTGTTATCTATCACAGTTGATTCATCAATCTGCAACGCAAATTTACCTTCTTTCAGAAATTTGACGAGTTTTGATTCAACGTCGGCGGCCATCTCATCAATACGCCTGAAACCAGTACTATTGCTCAGAGGAACAGAGTGACTTATCAGATTTCCGCCTGCGATACCAAAACGTATGATGAAAACGATCCTGGACTTGAATTTTTTTTAATTTTTAACTATCATAATTCTTTGTCAACACCAGAACCATAGGTTTCATATATATTTTCAATTTCAATCTCAAATAGCTTTTATTATTATTGTTAGCAATTTTTATCTTTTGAGTACTCGTCGCCCCTGATCGCCCCACTAAGGATTATCGCCCCCTTCAGAAGCTCTATGGGGCGATCTAGCTAAAAGCTCTATGGGGCGACCAGTGGTTCCCAACCTGGGGGCGGCCCCCCTTTGGGGCGATCGCCCCCAGGTTGGGAACCACTGGTATAAATGGTTTGGTTTAGACATTTGTTAAAATAACATTATGACTATGGAAGGGCAAACAGTATTTTATAAATTGCTGCAGTAACCTGGACCTTACTAACGCATTTACTGTATCTTAAAAATTCTTTACTTGACACTTACCATATCCTAACAAACCTTTGTATAACTTTTCCTGGGCTGTCAGCTGCATCTCTTGAATGAATACACTCTCTAAAACAAATGAATTTATAAAAAAAACGTGTCATATATATAAATTTTTCATAAAATAAAACATTAATGTTTTTTTATTTAATTTAGAAGTTCTACACTCATAAACAATTTAATATTTGTAATTAGCAAAAATTCTTTTTTCAATTTAAAAAATATCCTATATTGAAAAAATCTATTAAATCAAGATAAATTGATTACTAATGACAATATTTTTTTAATACATTTAAGCATTAAGATTTAATAAGAGCATTTGACGCTTTAAGTAAGAGAAATTTAATTTAAATGAATTGTTTCAACAGGCAAGGTCAACAAGCTCAAATTTTTACATTTAAATAACCTTTAAAATAAGTTTCTCACATACTAAGATATGATCATAATATTTAGAGGGTCTTACCTTTAATTCCCCTAATACCTTAACTTAGAAGCCTGAACTAGTAGTATTAAATCATTTAATGCAGACAATATTTCATGTTATGTCATCAGATATAAAAATAGCTTTTCTCAGGATAAACATCTTTTTTGCAAGAAATTTGGATTTTGACAGATTGATCATTTGCAATTGACTAGCTGATACAGTCAAACCCCGCCATAGTGAACACGGTTTATCGTGAACTCCCGGATATAGTGAACGAAATGTTCGGTCTCGCGCCTTGCTATACTCGGATAATGTTATTTTTTGTGGATATAGTGAACCAAAAAAATGAGGAAGTTTGATATAGTGAACTTTTTTCTGTCTTCGACTGATTTTTTTAGAAATTTTTTTTAATAATTTTGAAATTTCTACTTCAAATTAAATACATATACCGATTTTCAGAACCATCTATACAGGGGAATGTAGCAATAAGCATTTTTTCTTGTTTGCTTCTTTTATCTCACTTTCCCATCCCTAAACAAACCAAGCAGATGTTTCCAACCCAGGCAGACGATGCACCTGTAAGGTGTCAGTGGGATCAATATACATTTTTTCCAGAAGGAATGAGTAATTATTCATTATTGGTCAAAGAGTTGGACACTAATATGTGTCGATAAGGCCATCATTTCAACTCCTTTTTGCTCTCAGTTCAGTTAAAATAAATCCTGCAAACAAGTGTCTCAAATTTAACTATGGCTAGCAGTAAATGTAAAACGTTCTCCATTGATGATAAAATGGGCATAATCAGAAAAATTGAAAATGGATGCAATCAAGCTGATATTTGCAGGAAATATAAACTATCCAAATCTGCAGTTTGCAACATATGGAAAAAAAGGCAATTTATAATTTCTGCTCATGAAAAAAATTTAGAGGGTGGAAAAAAGTTGAGAAAAGCAGATCACAAGAATAATGAAGAAACATTGCTGAAGTGGTTCACCAATCGAAGAAGCCGCAATCTTCCAGTATCTGGCAAATGCCGAGGAATTTGTTAAGCGATTTTATGAAACTACTTTTATGTGCTCGAATGACAGGTTAGACGGGTTTAAAAAGCGGAATAACAGAAATTCAGGAAAAATGATCGGAGAGTTGGGAAAAGTGTTTCCATATCTGATGTTGAGGATTGCTCATCAGCTAAAGATTACTAATTTTTTTTGTATGCAAGATGAAGAGCAATGAAAAATATAAGTTAACACATTTTTTTGATACTACGTATTATTTTTCAGTCATTTTTGTATTTCATTTTATGGGTCATTTATTTAAATAATGTGTAATAAAAGGGAGAAGTTTTGACCCATTAGTTAAAATTACTTGCAAAACGGATATATTGAAGTCTCGGTTATAGTGAACCCTTGAAGGTTCACTATAGCGAAATTTGACTGNAGATGGTGGAAAAAAGTTGAGAAAAGCAGATCACAAGGATAATGAAGAAATATTGCTGAAGTGGTTCACCAATCAAAGAAGCCGCAATCTTCCAGTATCTGGCAAATGCCGATGAATTTGTTAAGCGATTTTATGAAACTACTTTTATGTGCTCGAATGACAGGTTAGGCGGGTTTAAAAAGCGGAATAACAGAAATTCAGGAAAAATTATCTGAAAGTCGGGAAGTGTTTCCATATCTGATGGTGAGGATTGCTCATCAGCTAAAGATTACTAATTTTTTTGTACGCAAGACGAAGAGTAATGAAAAATAACACATTTTTTGCCGCTACATAATATTTTTCAGTCATTTATTTGAATAATGTGTAATAAAAGGGAGGAGTTAAGGAACCATTAGTTAAATTGACTGCGTAACGGATATAGTGAACTCCCGGTTATAGTCAACCGAAACTTAGGTCCCTTAAAGGTTCACTGTTTGACTGTATTAAAAAAAAAAAAAAAAAAAAACATGATTTTTATACTGAAATGAAACACTTTTCAAGGCCTTGAAAAACAATATTAAAGGAGTTTTCAAGTTTGTAAGAGCCCTGTGGGTTATTACAAAATTTTTTAAATAAAAAGATAGTTAAAAATTTTATTTACTGAGTCAGAAATTAAGTTATTTTTAATTAATTGGAACATTATTTTGTAACTTATTTTAATTTAACAATTTAAACAGAGAAAATAACTCTGCTAGAATATTGTTTAAATTCTTTTTAATTGTTCTAATCTCAACTTAGCTAATTTTTAAATAAAATTTTTGACAATTCCTTCTCAATTGTCTAACAGATAGAGAGAATTTATTTATTTCGCCTTACAAGCATAAGAATAGCTCAACTAAAAACATGAAATACTAAAGCCATTGATAACACTGAATTTTGACTCAATAATAAGTGGTCAAGAAAGCATGGTAGATATGTGGTCAACTAAAAACGCTTTCTTTTGAAGTGTATGAAAGGATTTCTTAAGTGAGAATTTATCTATTGGAAGAAGGAAGATAACTTGGTTACGTTAATAACATAAAGGCTTAAGATTGTGAGAAGTGTCTTCCTTTTTTGCCCTCTTAATATTACTCATTTCAAGAGTTGAAAATTGTATTTCGCCTGAAAATAAATTTGTCACATTAGAGAAAGTCTAATAAATTTTAACTCGTTATAAGCATTCCATTTTTGTTTAGTATTAACATATTGACAGTTACTTGGAAATTTGTTGTAATATTAGATTTCTTGAAAATAGGCCATATAAGTTAAATAAACTTTTACTACATTTTTTAAGAAAATAAGATTTACCTTTTTTTACATCATCAATCAATTTCAGCAAGGTGATCGCAGATAGCCAATATGACTCAATGTATGGGCTCAACACATTTCTTAGAAATTCTAAATGACTAATGCTTTCTTCGGAAAGATCTACCTACAACAAAGAAACTTTTACTTAAGGTCAGTTTAATAACAATTTTTAAATTAAAATAAAATAAAAACGAATGCATATTGACATATATGATCTTCTAGGTAATGTCAATCCCTTTTTTTAATTAAAATTACTACATAGGATTAGCTTTGGAAGAACGAGACGAATGTTTTGAAAATGAAAGAATTCTGAAAGCTATTTAAAAAGAGTGTTATGCATTAATAAGTTTAAAAAATTATGACTACTAACATTTCTAATAGAAAAATTATTTATAAAAAATGACACCATGAAAAGGTTGTAAGCATGGCAAAATCTACAAAACTATCTTAGAAACACAAGGCACCGAAACAAAAGTTGATTTTGCTACATTATGCTGTTATACATAATAAAGATTTTGTTAAGTAAAACATTAGAGAATCCGAGCTTTCAGTCATTTTCTTGAACACAAGAGCAATAATCAAACAAATAAATTAGTACTAGAAGTGTGTTAATATAACTATCAGTATGATGATGCACCATGTCAGAGAGTGCTTGGGAAGTCAGGCTCTTTAGAAACAGACATCATTAGGTAGGCTGATTGCAAAGAGTCTTATAATCCAACTACAAGATTATGTCGGCAATTAGCAAGAACCAGATTTTCCAATAGGCGTACGATCGGTGGTCGAAAGTAGTGAAATTACTATAGTCGCTACTTTTTTTTCGTAGTTTGTAGTGTAGTGTGCTACTTTTAATGTACTGTAGTGCAATACTAAAAAAGTAGTTTGTAGCAATTCTGGGCAATTACTTTAGCAAAATAAAACTGCTCTAACGTAACTAATTTTCAGAATTTGATGGGAATAAATCTTTGTGGGTCATCAAGGAATGCAATAAAAAATTGCCTTTGGTGGAGGTGATCACCATTAGTGGTATAATAGGAAAATGCATCATGGATTTACTTGGCCGTATGAAAGTACATCTAAAATTGTGGTTGTGATAAGATGATCATCTCCAGGAAAATAAATATAAATCGTTTAGTGAAAATTTGATTTACTAAGCAGAATTGGTATTATGGATAATGGCCATTTTCAACATCCAAAAAAAGGAAATCCCCTAAAAGGATCAAATCAGAATACTCGAATATTGAGAGATTACACAGCCAGAATATCATTTCTGATGGTTAGAAATTGAGACTGTGGAGGCCCGAGAAGGGAAAAGTTATAAATAGATCTTCGTTTTTGATTAGGCGCGACAGTGAATTAATAAGTCTGCATTAGTAATGAAATAAAAAGTATCCATTACATTGATCAATACAAATAAAATAAATTTTTTATGTTTGTTTTAAAAGCTTAAGTATTTGATTTATTTTAAATATATAATTCTATTAATAAAATAAGTTTAAGTAATTAAAGATATTTTAAAAGATAGGAAATAAATATGTAGTGCCAATTATGTCATCACAATACCCCTTTAGCTGCAGTTGAGCATTAATTGGAAATATGTATTTATAATCACCTATAACTAATATTTAAACTAACTATTACAAAAAATTATAATCTTTAACATGTGAATGTGCACTCGTGAAACATGGATGTTATTTCAAAAAAAGGAAACACATTTTCGATTTCCCAGAGGAATTAACCCACTGGCGGTTTAGTAAACGGGCGAAATTGGGTGGATGTTACTCTTCTATACACTATTTCCCTATATAATTACATGGAAAACCCAGTTTTGCCATACGGAGAAGACTGCAGATTAAAACAAGACTTTTTACGTGCAGAACCGTCATTGGGTTAAAAGAACATTAATCCTCTGGGTAAAAATTCGCTTGGTTTTGCAAACAGGCTGACCGGCACAGCAAGTAGGCAATAGAAACAACTATTCAGAATTTCAGTAGTTTCAAAAAACACTTCCCCAAGTGGTACCAAAGGTAATTTATTAATACAATGAAACCTCATGAGGGCAACCACTCTCTGTTCCACAATTGTCATTCATAGAGTTCACCTCCATTGACTTCAAAATGTTATCGAAGGTATATGTTTTTTTGTCATTATCTTGGGGTGGAAGTGCCACTTGTGTTAGCTTTATGAAAACCAAATCAATGAATAACACTTAGTGTCAATAAAAATAACCCCTAATTTTATATAAAAACAAATTTATAAATTATTAATAATTGAACTATTTTAAGTAAATAAACAATTATGTTTTCTGTAATAATAACAGCCCCACAGAAATATTTTGAATACATTTTAATCTACATATTTGTTTGTTAATTTTTTTGTTTTGATATATTTTTTATATCTCCTTATTTGATCTTTTTTATGGCACAGAGGTTTTCCCGGCAGCTAGGAGATTTTTTAATGGCGTCTTTTAAGTTTTTCAACTCAAAGTATATGGAAGAAATTCCATTCCATCCAATCATGGTCATAAATAGAAGTTGTCTTTCCTGGAGGTTTCACTGTATAGTGAAAACAATATTACAGAGAGTAATCATGAATTACTTTCAATTGTTTTTCTTTGGATAGCGGTAAGTCTGAATCCTCATCATCTTCATCATCACTGGCATCAAAACTCAAAATGTGAGCTTTCCCAGAGTACCTTGGTGGTCTACCCGCAATTATGTTCATCTGTAATTGATATAAAGACAACAAATGAATAACAGAAATGATAAAAAAAAGGAGGAAAAATAAGGCTTTTAAATGTAGACACATATTTGCTATGCAATCTAATGTTATATAATATGACCTTAAATTTAAAAGGAGTACAAGGAACTACTTTTTTTATACATCAAATTCAATCAGATACACTTTGAACAAATTTTCATTTTCAATCAATGATGTAAAATTACTTTCAAGATAACAAGGATGGAATTGGATGTTTATTACTTAAATAAAAAATCGAGAATAATTATTTAGAAGTTGTACTTAACTTTTTCAGTTTCCTACATTTTGACGATAACAATTCTATAAGATATTTGATACTAACACAAGTAAAAAATAATATTAATTAATGTAAAAACAGTGCATCATATTAAAGGTGACAAGGAAAGCCCTTTTTGAATAAATATAGTACATAGGAAATGATAGAATAGACCAGTGGTTCTCGAAGGATGTTCTGGGGATTCCTAAAGTTCCATGGAAGGGTTACATGGGTTCTGAGAGTTTAAAATTTTTTTAAACATTAATGATTTTGAAATCTGTAATTATATTTATATCTAAACAATAAACCATAATTTATTTGATATTTTGGTTATTTGATTAAAATTATTGAAGTGAAATTCCAATAAAAAAAGAAATAGCAAAACTTATTACAACAGCATTTGAACATTTCAAGTTAAACTTTTCAATTTAATACAAAATTAGTAAATTTAAGAATAACGAATGTTTCATTGATTACTATTCTCAAATTTTATAAGAGTTCTTTTTCTAAAACTACAATTAAGCTTATTTTATTCTTTTTCAGCTATTTTATGCACTCAAAAATTCAGAACTAGACTAAATACCACTCCAGACCTGCACACAAAACCCATAATTCACTGTTTATTACTAAAAAAACGTTTATTGAAAAAAAAAAATTATTCTTCACATTAAATATTTTTAAAATAATTAGTAGTCTTTTTTGGTTAATATGTTCACATCTGCTAATAAATTATTTTTTTATATATATTGGGGTTCAGCCACAACAGGCTCGATCATAGAAGGTTCCGTAGCCATAAGAAGTTGGGAACTGCTGACATAGACAATGAAAATTTGCACTTACTCCAACAGAATGGAGACACTCTTTTTCTACAAGTGCATCTAAAGAATCACTAAAGCTAAGAGCAAGATCAGAACAAGGCTGAAATAGATAAGTTACAAATTATATAGAGCATAATGAATTACAAAGGAAACACACATAAAGATAAATTCACTATTATAATCCATTTAACTGATCATTATCAATTGAAATAAATTATGTGATAATCTAAGTCTTAAGTTGGCTATTTTTCTAAGGCCTAATAAACTCTAGCAATATTCACAATTTCCATCTCTTGATAAACATTTTTTTTTTCTTTTCTTTTGAGTTACTTTTAAAAATCTTAAAAGTACATGATCCAGATAAGCATATTTCAAGTCTAAAAAAACGTTTTGCATTTCACTTGTATGAAATAGTAAGAAATACAAATACTCAACAACTGTCGCATGTTAAATAAATAATCCCAAGAAACTGAAGTGGTAAGGTATTACATGATTAAAAATATTCACTTGCTTCAAAAATATGTAAATTGGAAATAAAAGTCGAGTGTTTCAAGCGCTCAAAGACAGGCACCCATTTTCCAGACACCAATTTCTTTTTCTTACATCACATTCACGCCTGCCAAATCTTGAAAATGGGCACCCGTTTTTGAGTGCTTGAAACATGTCGAATGCTATTTTTAATTTACATATTTTTGAAGCGAATGAAGTTTCTTTTTATCATGTAATACAAATTCATTGAGTAAATTAATAACTGTGTTCTACTTACTGGAATGGTTACAAATTCATATTCAAGTAAATCACTCAGCTCAATTGCTTTGTCAATGAGCTTATCTCTGGAAACATACAGTTGGCTATCACAGTGACGAAAATGGCAAATTTCAACATCCACCAGAGCATAAATAGCATTCACTGAAATATCAAACACAGTAGCTTATGAATGAACGGGAACAAACTTATTAAACAGAATTATACCATATGAGAAGAAACTACAAGAGTTAAATTAAAATAAATTGGTATAAACAGCAGGTGAAACTTCCATGAAAGGATTAAGATACATCAAAATCTTTCCTGCATTCCACATAAAGTATGAATAAAAATACAGAATGTGTATACTTTTATAATTTAAGCTAAAATATAGATATGTATTAATGCGAAATAAAAACAAACTGAATTACCAACAATGCTATCAATTATAAAAACAGGCACAACATGACTGGCGTAGTGCTGAAGCTCCAGAACATGTGGCAGGTTGATAACAGGCTTGTAGATTGTTATTTTGACATTGTTATTCTCGAGATCACTGGAAGTCCATTCCATGTCCACCACTTCCGAGGAAATGAGATCTTTTCCGAGAAACTCCACCGCTCGTTTGATGACGGGTAACGACTGTCCTGTGAAGCCAGTGTCCCTCTTTTTATTGGCCAACAGCCCTCTCAACCAGTCCATACTGTTCTGGAGTTGCTGCTGTGTAGCACCCTGGAAAGATTAAATACAGGGTTGAAAAAATTGAGTGGGCATGGAACAGAGTTAGGCTTCCGACACATGAAAATAGCTCTTGGTGTCAAAATTACTATACAAAAGCTGCAGCTAAGGAAAATATAGAGATAAAATATATTTAAGATGAGATTTAAATGGACATTGAACAGAGTCAGAATTTTGGTACCAAAAAATGGCAAAAAATTGTTATTCTAAAGCTGCTGGACTGTAACAATATGATATAATGGACATTTAATTTAATGCTTTCATGGCAGATAATTGGTAAGGGTAGCTTTTGATCACAATTGTTGCAAGTTAGTATAAATGTCTACACTGAAATATTTTTCAAAAAATTGAAGACAAAAATTTTTGATTTTGATAGGGCAATTTCCTAATAAATATTAAATCAATTTTTAATATAGTTTCATAAACATTAGGAATATAAATGTGTTACCAGAGCAAAAAGCACACTTTCGCCATCTAGTTATTGGTGATATAAATTGAACACAAGTCTTTCAAAAAGTTATACCGATTTTTTTTTTTTTTTATTTTNTTCAACCCAAGACAAAGATAATTTTAAGATACATTAAACTAAATTTACTTTGTTTGATTTTTTAATGGGTAAGTACATGGGTCTCAACTTTTTTCTTTAGCTAATCTATTTTTTGTACACTGTACCATGCATAAAACAAAACAGATCTTTTGTTCTAATGATGGGATTTTCTCAAACTAAAAGCCAGTTTTAATGTTTTAGAAGGGTAACAAAGGGGGCTTAATTATTCAAAAGGATGACAAAAGTGTATTAATTAAGTTACGTAAACAGACACAAAAGGCTCTTTATTAGAATAAGCCTAACTTTTTTTTTTTCAATGAATATGGATTATTGACTATCTAAATATGGAAGGGTAGCCACAACCTGTGAAATATGGCCTTAATAGTTTCAACAGGAGAGCTGTTGAAAGTTTGGGATCTTTAATACTAATTTGACTTTGCACATATTTAACCATATCTCAGAGCCTTTTATAATTAAGGGACTCAAACTTATTACCACTCTTCTATCAGGACCACCATTTCCATCTTTTGGATAAGTTGATATTTTAATATCAAAACTCCCTGTTATGTTTATTCATAGAAGGTAAATATTTGTGCCTGATTCTGTAATTTAATTTATAATTAGCTTTAATTACTTGGCGTATTTCAGGCTGCCAATTTGAACCATAATCATTAGTAATTCAGTGTGATATCATTTTTATTTTGCGCACTATACATCTTTAAAAAGTTAGAAGAAAAGAAAAATTCCTACTTTTCTATATTGTGTGAGAAGTAAAAATGCCAAAAGGTGAGTACTCATTAATGGAGTTGAAAATACTGCATCTGAAAATGAAGAAATTAAGAAAATTGAACTACATATAAAAACATAATTACATAATTTGAAGTAAAATTATGGTTGATAAAGATTTTAATGGTTAATGATTTTAATGATAAATGATTTTAATGGTTGATAAAATTATACTAGTCAAACTGGTTTGTTATTCAAAGAGAAACCAGAATGCACTTCGTTTTGCTATCTTTATTATAATATTTATAACCAAGCCAAATTAGTAAACAATTAAAAAATTTAAGATTTGAAATTAAATAAATAATAATGATACATACAAAAAATTTGCAAAACAAATATTTCAATAAAAAACCATGACTAAAAAATTTTATATTATCTTTTTTGAACACAAAATCACATTTTTAATTCCTTTTCTTCACAATAAACTTTAAATAAAAAATAATATAATTAAATTAATTTGTTCCTAGGAGAAAAACAAGCATAAAGCACTTGAAAATATTTTGAGGTTGACTCGAAATCCTAATTTTTATTCACGATTTAAAAATAGAATAAAAATCTATCTGATTTTATTAGATATGTTACTGTCACGGTAAAAAATGCTGGCATTCTATAAAATGTCTAGCCATTGTGTAGAACACCTAGCCTTTTCACAAAATGTGATTACTACCCTAATATTACGTACGACACATTATAATTATTATGCACTTTGAATAGTCATGCGGAATGCCTAGATACTCTGCAGAGTGGCAAATGCTAATGCTCTTAAGAAATGAAAAATAAGAACTGTTATGTTGATTGATGTTTCGTCATTAGCCATTCTACAGAATGCCAAGAAAATGAAAGAAATATCAACTATTTTATACCTACATATTCAGTTTCAAACATTTTGCAGAATATCCAGTTTCATGCATTGATAGTAACACTATTATTATGCAAATTTGGTTGGGTAAAGGAGCCACAACAAAAACTTTACATACTAGCATCTTCTTTAAATAAATTAAGCCCACAAACAAAAACTAATTTAATAGCATATTTATTAATCAAAAAAAATAACATAACTTTTATTTTAAACCGAAATATTTTCATAACATGCATAAAATTTATTCAGGTTGTAGAAGTTTAAAAAGTTTTCCTGAAACCTGATAATGAGCTCCTGAAAATTTGATATGGAAAGTTATTTTTAACTCAATTAATTGTTAATCCAGCATTTTATAATATTCAACCCAAGACAAAGAGCTTCTTCATCCAGCGGTAATAAAAGCATCGCATAGATCGTACACTGGTTCTTGAAAATATAAATTTAAAGTTATTTTATTGATGGTCATCTACATAGCAATGATATATAATTCTAAAATTTATCTCACGTACTTAAGTTATTATTATTATTTTTTTTTTACTAACAGGGTACAATGTAGTATTAATATCTTAGTTGTGTGCCTTACCATAAACAAGATGCTTTTTTAAATTTTTCTGGACATGCTGCAAAAGTTCTACAAACTCTTGTTTTGCTACTGCCGATGAATTATTGATGGGTGAGGATGGAGGAGTATCTGTTGTGGGTATTTTACTGGGTAGGCTTTGCTTCCAAGTTTGGATGAATTCCTGATAAAAAAAGAGAAAAAAAATATTATAAAAATATATTTTTATTCTTTTTCTTCCAATATAGCTATAACTAATGCATAATAATATTTTAAAGAAGTCTTATAAAATCTTTCTCGATATAATCCTGAAATAACCATAGTACAAAATACAGGGTGTTTATAAAATCCTGGACCCATTTTGATGTTTAATAACTCATAAAATAATAAAGATAGATTAAAATTAATAACATAAATGGTTAGATAGACTCAAAAAGTTTCATGATCCTTGTCAATGAACTTCCACGTGTCCCCCCTTCGTCGCATGGAGAATATCAAGTCGATAGTCAATTTCACGCCAGGTAGCAGCAAGCATGTCGGCATCCACAGAGGTTATTGCGGTTGTAATTCTGGCTTTTAGGTCATCAATGTTCGACACTATCCTCCTGTAAACATTGTCCTTTATAAATCCCCAAAGAAAAAAATTCAGCGGCGTTATATCAGGTGATCTAGGTGGCCAAGGAATTGGACCTCCTCGCCCAATCCATCTTCTTGGAAAATGGTAATTAAAAAAACTACAAACGATGATACCCACATATACCTTCGTATTCGATGATACCTTCGTATTTCCACAATTAGAAGAGCTTCAGCCACATGTCTTTTTGCAACAAGATGGTTCACCACCTCATTGGGGTATCTTCGTTCGTAGTTCTTTGAACGACCATTTTCCAGAAAGATGGATTGGGAGAGGAGGTCCAATTCCTTGGCCACCCAGATCACCTGATATAACGCCACTGAACTTTTTCTTTGGGGATTTATAACGGAAAGTGTTTACAGGAGGATCGTGTCGAACATTGATGACCTAAAAGCCAGAATTACAACCGCAATAGCCTCTGTGGATGCCGACATGCTTGCCGCTACCTGGCGTGAAATTGACTATCGACTTGATATTCTCCGTGCGATGAAGGGGGCACACGTGGAAGTACATTGACAAGGGTCATGAAACTTTTTGAGTCTATCTAACCACTTATGTTATAAATTTTAATCTATCTTTATTATTTTATGAGTTATTAAACATCAAAATGGGTCCGATTCGGGACTTTATAAACATCCTGTATATGAAAAATAGGATGATAAATGAATAATATATATACAGGAATGTTAAAAGAAGAAGGAAAAAACAGGCAAATAAAAAATCATAGAATAATAAGAAGTCACAAACACGATTTAGAATCCCTGGAAGGCGTTAAAAATTATGAATAATATACAAGGGAATAAACAAAATTCTTTCCTTCTCTTTTTATTTTTACTGTTTCTACACGTTTTAAACATATATAACAAAAAATGTCATTAATCTTCTGTCAAGTTTTAAACAATGTCAAATTTACACTACTGCTCAAAATCCTTACAACAGAAGATTAGCAAACCAAATAGCTATGAAACTAAACTAGAATTCTCCAACAAAATAAGTATTAGAATGAAACAACTGCACAAGGTTAAAAGTAGCTTTACAACTCGTTTAATAATCTTAGAAATCTCTGCACCATTTATCCCATTTCAAACAAAATAAGAAGAATAAACATCAAACATTTCAACCTATTACCCTGAAATAAAAAATGGTCACCAATTTTTATGGTTATAATGATAGTCACTATCATTATAACCAGATGGTACCATTCAGGGGGGTTATAGATAAAGAAGTAGAGTGGATTTAGTCACTCAACAATATTGGAAATGAAAAAAGATCCTTATTCTCAAACTACAAAAAAAAAAATTTAGTTTTTCTGACCACTGGATTGAGTCATGTTCCTCTTTACTATTTTTTAAAGAGTTCCTTGGTATATTAATAAGGAAAAAAATTAGATAAGCTCAGCTCCTTTCCCAAAGTTGTTAATTACTTTTTACACTTGAGCTGCTAGCAGCGAACTAGAAACTAAGAAAGGAACTTGGAACTAAGAAAGCTTCTGTAGGTTGTAAAGATTTCTTTTTCTTAAAAAAAAATTTTCTTTTTAAAAATTGACTTACAGATTTGACGTTTAGGATACAAAAATTTCTTCTAATTACTGAAAAAAATTGACCTGTCAAACTTCGAGTAATAGAAAAAAATACAATGCCAAAATTAGAATTTTCACCAGGGTTTCGAAAATACTTCAAATTATCAAAACTTGGAGTTATAAATGATAGAGTAACAGAAGTTAGACTGAGTAGACTAAAGTTAGAGACACAGTTAAAGTTAGATCTCAAATTTAAAGGGATGTTAAAAAAATTTGAGATAGCGAGTTTTCGAGCTAAGGTAAGAACTAAATATGTTCTAAAAAGTAGAAAAATCTATTCTAAAATATTGCTCTAAAAAGTAGAGTCATGAGACATAAGAATAACTACTATTAAATAAGTATGCAATAATAGTTGACTAGAAGTCTAAATACAATAATGATAATTTTATTTTTAATAGTAAGACACAAATAATTATGCATTAAATAGGAAAGAATCTATATTATATAAAACGCTAATACGTATGTATCAATAAAACCGATGATATTTCTTTTCTCGCGTTGGCAACATTTTTCATTTTTAATTGATAGGCTTCGGTGTGCAAGAGCACGTAGTGAGCATCATATGGCTAATCTATATTATATAAAACGGTAATACGTTTTAATTGATAGNGTTATAAATGATAGAGTAACAGAAGTTAGACTGAGTAGACTAAAGTTAGAGACACAGTTAAAGTTAGATCTCAAATTTAAAGGGATGCTAAAAAAATTCGAGATAGCGAGTTTTCGAGCTAAGGTAAGAACTAAATATGTTCCAAAAAGTAGAAAAATCTATTCTAAAACATTGCTCTAAAAAGTAGAGTCATGAGACATAAGAATAACTACTATTAAATGTGTATGCAATAATAGTTGACTTTAAGTCTAACAAGGTTTAACATAACAAGGTTTTCGAGATATCAAAAGTATACTGAATATACTTATCAAATAAAATAAATTCAGCCAAATAAACCAAAGAATTTAATTAGATAATCATAGAAAATTGATTATTATATTAGTAAATAATAATTATACATACCTTTATAGAAAAAGGTTGGCCAAAATTTATCCTAACATTTCCAAATCTCATGTGGATCATTTTCCATAAAGAATATATGGTTGTTAAAAGGGAGTTTTTAATTTCAGATTGACCCTAAAAGAATTAAATTTAATATCAGTTACAGATGTGAACCACACATTAAATTTTTTTTAAAAATTTAACTTAATCTTACTAATTTTTCTTGCACTATATTTCCACTAGGAAATTTTTCATAGCTAATAGAAACAACACAGATGTTAGCATCTTCAATAGACCCTGAAAAAATAAGTTGGTTTTAATGTTTTGCTTAAGTAACCATAATTTTTAGACATAAAATTAGCTGGCATAATTTGATAATCTACTGATTTGATTTTTACATTCTAAACGTAATTTAATGGATCGAGGATCTAAGATTATAATATGCTAATTAATTTGCGCACGCAATATTTTTAATTACAAAATATGACACAAAAATGCATTTTTCGATAAATTTGGAATCTTAACTCGAAAATTATGAAATTAAGTAGCAATCTGGAAAATATAGTTCCATTGGATAGAATAAAGTCAAAAGATTGGTCCTTTTAATATCTTTTTCCTTTTTTGGGTCTTTCCTAGGATTATTTAAACAAATTAAAAAAATTTTGAAACCTTGCTAAATTACCATATTTTTGATGAATATTAGTTATAATTTTATAAGATAATTCCATAAACTAATTCTTTTTAAGGTTAATGGCCATTGCTTGTCTAAATAATGATTTATAGCAAATATTTCAAACATTTACCAAAGCTACTATGTGGATATTAATATTCACTGAATATTGCAGACATTGATTAATTGGTTCTATTACTCACAGTAAAATAAACACAGCCTGGAGTTGTAAAGGAGAAATTCGGGTCATTAACTGACCATTCACGAATTATCTTATTATAAAAATAGACCCTTCTTAAATTGTTTTATCATAAAATTGGATCCTTTATAAATTATTTCATCATATAAACTAAAAATTTACAAATTATTGTGTTGTGAAATAGAACCTTTCTCAAATGATCGTTCACTGTAAAAATCACAAATTACCTTCCACAAATTATCTTTTCGTAAAAATGGACCCTTCAAAAATTTTTCATCATATTCTATCATAAAAACCCGCTTCACAATGATTTTTATTTTAAAAACGGATTTTGCATAATAACTTGGGAATTTAAGTTTTTTTCAAACATCACTTAGCATATTATTCAGCTATCTAATCCACGAACAAATGCTTACTTACCATTTAAAACTGATTCAATAATAGTAGGAAACAATTGATATTTATCTAAATGAACATGATCTGGAACTGAATTATCTTCATCGACAAAGAGTTCAAAGTTGTATCCAACTTTCAGACATTCCCTAATGTACTAAATAAAAAAATAATCGTAAGAGTCACGAAAGAAAATGAAAAATCAATTGACAAAAAATAAAATTTAAAAAAATAGAAAGCATATCATTAAATGAGAATGAGAAAAGACAATGGAGAAAAATTAATTATTTGAGGGTCAATACTGTATATATTGATAAGTCGACCCCTCTATTTTATGTTATTGAGATTGCAAATTTTTGGAATGTCGGCTGTATAAATCACCCTTTGAAAAAACCAAATAAGAATAAATTTAACATTAAAAAATATAAAAAAATTTATATATCTACAAAATTTAAAAACATGTTCAACAAATTTCTTATTGTTTCCTCTGCGTATCATACATTTACCATCCAATAGAGATCCTATGAGGCAGGAAATTAATATAACACATTGAAAATAAATGGAGTTTTTGGAATGGAGAATTAACGCAGAATTATGCAGATCTATCTCATTGTTTATAATGCTCAATATATCGGGATCATGGAATATCTAACCTAATTATTGTTTTATAGGTCATTCCCTGATATTCAAGAAATTTTGGAGAGTTTGTAAAATCTACTTTTACACCATAAAATACATTTAACTCATTTTTTTTCTAAAAAAAAAAAGCAGGGTTATTTATGATATGGCTGGATAGGTTGTTGAATATGAAATATTATTTAACTCAATTTTTTTTAAATAAAAATAAATAATCTGTGTTAATATTAAGCAGTGAAAAAGTACACAGATTACCTACGTACACAGAACTTAAGTAGAGTGAAAAAGTACACAGATTAACTTTGTTCAATTATGAGTCATCCAGTTTTTTTGTAATAATGTATGAAGGAAAAAAAAAGGATTCTCGCTTTCTTTTAAATTTTTTGTAATTCCTTTACTTTACTAAAATTACAAAATTTAATTCAATTCAGATTGCTTATGTTTACAGATCAGCTTAATCGCAAACAGGTGGACTTTATGACATTCAAAAAATATTATTACATTTTTTAAAATAAGAGAAATTACAATAATAAAATTTATTCTTAAAACGCAGAAAGCTTTTCTATTGTAAGAAAAGTTTTTTAATTGTCTTTTAATTTAAAAATGATTAACAAAAGAAGTTTGCAAGTAATTACATTTTGAAGTACAGATGAATACAAAACTTGATCAACATCAGAACAGTTCTTTAGATGATTTCGAACAAAAAACACTCCTATGAACTTCAAAAGATATCTGAAAGATACAACATTAGAATTGTTATAATTAACCAGGGTTCCTACTCTTTTAACAAAATAAAAATTAACCACTTTTAAGAACTTTTTTTGAGAAAGTTAAGGACTTTTTTTGAAAAATTAAGAACCTTAAAAATAGTATGATTGTTTATCATCAAATACGAATACTGATAAAATTGTGTTAATTAACAGGGTTTGCCGAAGTAGGACCGGGCAATTTTGGCAAACCTGTGTTCAGTTTTTTTAAAAAAATATTTTATGATTGTTAAGAGTGAACGAGATCTATAAAACTAATCTGTATTCTATTTTTAATGATTTCATTGAAATTGAATTGTAAAATTAAGTGTAGAAATTAAGATTTGAAATTTTTTTAATATTAAAAAAAAGAGTAAATAAAGAAATTTGGGAAAACATTGAAAAAACTATTACAAGTTTTTATATTTTGCTACTAGACATGCATCACATATTTAGTTGTGGGTCAATCTTGGTAAATATTCAGTTACACAAAAAAATTCGTTCTTTTCTATTAACAAAATGTTTCATTTATAAGGGTATATATTGAAAGAATTAATACTAAGAAGTTGAATTAGAGTAATGCATGAGAGCAGTATTCTTAACTATGTCATGTTAAATTAAGTCCTATTTTAAGTAAAAATGGATCATACTAATATCTAAGCACCTTAAATCATTCCACTTTTTTTTTCACTAGGTTTAATTTAATAAATAGATTTTTTTTTTTTTTTAATTCATTGCAATAAATTTTTTTAAGAAAATTTTTATGCTTGAGAAGATTTATAATTTTCAAACCAATATGTTTTTTTATTAGTTCCTGGTGAAACATATAAAAAAAAGGTCTAAAATGATTTTTCAAAGGTATCAACTCATTCCTATGGCCAGAAAATTGGTAAGGTTTCTTAATTAACAAATATTGATAAATTATTTATTTTTTCATCATTTTTAGATATTTACTTGTAATATTTCTTTATCGTCCTCTATCATTCTTAATATGATTCTCTACTATTAGAATCATTTGACAATTTACTTTTATTGTGAATTAATAGTTTTGTAAAAATATATTGAAAAATTTTACAGATTGAAAACGGTATGTAACTTAACCATTTTGAAATTATTGCTTAACAATAATTGTGTTATACAGTCAAACCCCGCTATAGTGAACTCCCGGATATAGTGAACAAAATGTTCGGTCCCGTGCCTTGCTATACTTGGATAATGTTATTTTTTGTGGATATAGTGAACCAAAAAAGTGAGGAAGTTGGATATTGTGAACTTTTTTCTGTCTTCGACTGATTTTTTTAAAAAAAAAAATTTGTAATAATTTTGAAATTTCTACTTCAAATTAAAAACATATACCGATTTTCAAAACCATCTATAGAGGGGAATGTAGCGATAGGCATGTTTTCTTGTTTGCCTCTTTTATCTCACTTTCCCATCCCTAAACAAACCAAGCAGATGTTTCCAACCCAGGCAGACGATGCACCTGTAAGGTGTCAGCGGGACCAATATGCATTTTTTTCAGAAGGAATGAGTAATTATTTATTATTGGTCAAAGAGTAGGACACTAATATGTGTTGATAAGGCCATCATTTCAACTCCTTTTTGCTCTCAGTTTAATTAAAATAAATCCTGCAAATAAGTGTCTCAAATTTAACTATGGCTAGCAGTAAACATAAAACGTTCTCCATTGATGATAAAATGGGCATAATCAGAAAAATTGAAAATGGATGCAATCAAGCTGATATTTGCAGGGAATATAAACTATCCAAATCTGCAGTTTGTAACATATGGAAAAAAAGGCAATTAATAATTTCTGCTCATGAAAAAAATTTAGATGGTGGAAAAAAGTTAAGAAAAGCAGATCACAAGGATTATGAAGAAACATTGCTGAAGTGGTTCACCAATGGAAGAAGCCGCAATCTTCCAATATCTGGCAAATGTCGATGAATTTGCTAAGCGATTTTATGAAACTACTTTTATGCGCTCGAATGGCAGGTTATACAGGTTTAAAAAGCGGAATAACAGAAATTCGGGAAAAATTATCTGAGAGTCGGAAAGTGTTTCCATATCTGATGGTGAGGATTGCTCATCAGCTAAAGATTGCTAATTTTTTTGTACGCAAGACGAAGAGTAATGAAAAATAACACATTTTTTGTCGCTACATAATATTTTTCAGTCATTTATTTGAATAATGTGTAATAAAAAGGAGGAGTTTGGGAACCATTAGTTAAATTGTCTGCGTAACGGATATAGTGAACTCCCGGTTATAGTGAACCGAAACTTCGGTCCCTTGAAGTTTCACTATAGCGGGGTTTGACTGTATTTACTTTTATGAGCTTTACAATTATTTCCAGCCAAAGCTGATATTAGGAATTAACTTTACATAAAATTGCAAAACAAGCTGGTGAAAAACTTGAACTAATTTTAAAGCAACCGAAAGTTGAATAGAAATTTAAAAAAAAAAAAAAAGACAGCTTATTAAGTTACAATGTTTAATGAGAAAAATGATTATCAAAATATAGTTTGAATTTTATACTAATAGACATAAATAACAAAAAGTTTGAGATATTTTAATTTAGAGTAGATTTAAATTCTTAAGTAACAATAAGCTTATCCTTAAGAAATAAAAATAATGCCGCAACAATCTGAAACTTTAAAATTTACATTGCAGCAAAACAAGTTATAAATAGTTACCAAACATTTAACTTTCTAGTTAGGAGCAAATCATGCGTTCTTATTTAGTACTCAGGAATAAAAATTATTTAAAAAACTTAACAGTAACAGTATTTTTTGAAAAACTTGAGGTTTTCATCAAAAACTCAATAAATCTCAGGTTTTTGATGTAAAATCTAGGTGGGATGGAATTTTTCAAACCCTATTTAGTACAAATCTGTTTAGTTTTTAGTACAATCATGAATTTTAAAAAATGTTACTAGATTTTTTTAAATTTACAGTTAATTATCACACATTGAAATATTATACAAATTTATTTAATTCTTCCAAGATTTCAGAAAATAGTTTTCATTATGGATCCTAGCTCAAAAAATTTTTCTGATACTTTTCTTAGGGTTTTACTTTGTTCATATGAGCAGATGCAGTACCAGTAAAACAGAATTTCTTGAATTCTGCCATTTTTGAATGCCAGTGTGGGTCTTCTACTAAAGTACCCTAGACCNATTTTCTACTTAGGTACTTTAGAACTGTCACCCCCCCCCAAAAAAAAGCACTATCTCTTCCTTGTGCAGTATCCCTCTTGTTGACACTCTAATCTTTTCTTGCAGAATGTTACTCTCCTCAAAAAGCATCATTCTAGTAATATATTAATAAAAGGACATGCTTTCTTCTCCTTGTCTGTAGCCCCCTCACACACATCCCTACTTATCTCGCTAAAATGCTCTACCCTCAGTGCAGGGTCTAATTCTAGGTGATAAATTCTAGTTCTAATTCTAGGTGATTCTTTTCGTTTTAAAAAATTTAACTGAAAAATTGTTCTTATCAACTGTGATGCTGAAAAATTAAGGATTTTTAAAAACCTTGTACCAAAGTTAAGTACTTTTAAGGGCTCTTATATTCCCAAATAAAAGTTAAGCAGTTTTTAAGAACTTTTAAGGACCGTGGGAACCTTGTTAACACTTTGTTTAACAAAAATATACTTCAAAAACCATAAATAAGTGGGAAACAGTTTACACTTCTTTGCTAGTTTTTCTAAAAACATAAATTTATTTGAACTGCTG